TATGAAGGAAATCGTGAAGAAACTTGTCTCGCAAAAACGACTGGAGTTTATTAACGGTGGATGGTGTATGAATGACGAAGCATCAACACACTACAATGCAATCATTGATCAAATGACTKTAGGATTAAAGTTTATWAAAGATACATTTGGAGATGATGCGCGGCCAMGAATCGCCTGGCATATTGACCCGTTCGGACACTCGAACGAACAAGCTTCGTTGTTTGCGCAAATGTCATTTGATGGTTTCTTCTTTGGACGCATCGACTACGCTGACAAAAAAGCAAGGCTCCAGGATCAGCGCATGGAAATGATTTGGCGTGGAAGTAAGAGYGGAAATCTCGGTAAAAGTTCAGATATTTTCTCTGGTGTGCTGTACAATGGGTATGGCCCTCCTCCCGGGTTTTGCTTTGACCAGTCTTGCAAAGATCAGCCAATGATGKCTGACCCTAATCTASAGGATATGAATGYAGAAGAGAAAGCAGCAAAATTTATTGAGTATGYMTGTRATCAGGCAAAACATTACMAGAGYAACAACATCATACTCACAATGGGAGAAGATTTCAACTATGAGAATGCTMACTTGTGGTTTAAGAATCTTGATATTTTGATGAAATATGTCAATCAGGTATGGTAGTAAACAATATATGAGATGGTTTAGATTGTTTGCAGTTTCCATTCATTTGGTGTACTTGAAAGCAAACAGTTTTTACCTGGTTTTAGAAAAAAGTACTTTTGTGTCATTTTGACTGTTTTTTTTTTAGGATAGCAGAGTTCATGCCTTTTACTCAACACCAACAACCTACCTAGATATGGTCCATGATAGCAATTTGACGTGGGGATTAAAAACTGACGATTTCTTTCCATATGCTGACTGTCCTCATTGTTACTGGACTGGCTACTTCACTAGCAGGCCAGCACTCAAGAGATATGTGCGATACAATAATAATTTGCTACAGGTATGATATATCATATCACTCTACATAGTTTCTCCTTGAAATGGCTCATTTTTTTACAAGACTCTAAGTTTCCAAGGCTTGCCGGCACAGTCTTCAGCTCTGTTCATAAACAGGCCCATTACCCATTTAATGTGACCTTTGCCAAGTCTACTGCAACAGTATCTTTTGATGAACATGCATAACATTTTAGCAAATATGTTCTAATGAACTATAGCAATTTACAAGACTTTATGTCAAAACGTTTCATCCCGTTTCAATTTCCATTCATCAATTTCCATCCACAATTCTGTCTGACAAACGTTTTTTTAATTAGCTGTATATAAAAAGGAAATACTGGTGGTTATCGTGGTCCTAATGGCTTTTCATGCCTTTACTTTCTCGACAGTATTTTTAGCCATACATATAGAGTTACGATTTCAAGCTGCAAAGCAGTGTGCTTGAACTAAAGCCTTTAGAACCAGGGCATACAAGGATRTCTTAAGATGTAAGCATGGTTTGTATTCTACCATACATAGTATTAAACCTTCTTACTTTCKGTTAGGCCTGCAAACAATTAGAGGTTTTCAATGGACCTTCACAATCCGGCTCTCCGTCATCTGAATTGCTACGGAGGGCCATGGCAGTTGCACAGCATCATGACGCTGTCAGTGGCACATCTAAACAACATGTTGCTAACGACTATGCTAAGAGACTTTCCATTGGAGCCGCCAGCTGCAAGGCAAGTTTACTATGTTTGTTTCATGCGTGTGCAAGACTTCCTATGGAAGACACTTTGTTGATTTATGATCGGGTTATTTTATCTTTTGAACTTTATGTGCAACAAAGCTTACGATAGTTACTTTTTGTATTCAGGGCTTAATAAGCAATGTCCTTGGAAAATACTCTACTTTTAACAAGCAAGRCGATGTTCCCGTGTTTACATTCTGTGACCTTCTTAACGTCAGCTCGTGTGCTTTGACTGAGTCAAGCAAAAACTTTGTGGTGAACATGTACAACCCACTTGCTCGTGACGTTGCTACATACGTTCGTCTTCCGGTTGTGTCGAGTTCAATGGCGGTATTCGACCCTCAAGGCGAACCAGTTGAGAGCCAAATTCTAYCAATCTCAAAAGAGACCAAAGAGGTGCGCGATCTTCAGAATTTGACGAAAAGTACTTCGAGTTACGAGCTTGTCTTCCAGGTCAAGCTACCTGCTCTCGGCTATGCATCGTACTTTGTAAGTGTTGGCAGTACAAGGCAGACATTAATGTCAKTCAACCCTGTGGCACGCTCTGTGGACGAGACCTTGTCCATTGAAAACGAGTTTGTAAAACTYGAGTTTTCCAAGGAAAGTGGGCTGCTAACGAGTATDACAGACTTGCAGTCCAAGCTCAAGACTGTTGTTAGTCAACAATTCTTGTGGTATAACGCAAGTGTGGGCAACAAAGAAAGCGATCAACCTTCAGGAGCTTACATCTTTAGACCAAACTCATCTAACACTTTCCCTGTATCTAAAGGCGGAAAAGCTACCATAGATGTTATGAAAGGCTCTTTGGTTCAAGAAGTGAGGCAAGTGTTCTCGCCTTTYATCAGTCAAGTCGTACGTCTGTATRCAGGTGAACGACAHGCAGAGTTTGAATACACTGTCGGCCCCATTCCAATGGCAGACAWGTTGGGMAAAGAAATTATATCAATCTTTAATACTGACATTAAATCCAGTGGAGTATTCTATACAGATGCTAACGGTAGAGAGATGCAAGAACGACGGAGGAATTTCCGACCAACTTGGAAATTAAACATCACTGAACCTGTGGCTGGGAACTATTATCCTRTCAATAGTAGAATATATATTAAAGACTCTGAGAAGCAGTTTACTGTGTTAACCGAAAGATCTCTTGGAGGATCGAGCATGAAAGACGGTTCTGTTGAAATAATGGTTCATCGTCGACTATTAGTTGACGATAAACGAGGCGTTGRTGAACCGCTTGATGAGGAAGGAGTTTGTGGAAAAGGTCTGATAGTACGTGGGAAGCTCGCAGTTGTGTTAGCTCCCCCAGCTGAATCGGCTGCTATCCATCGCGTCCTCGGAGAAAAAATGCTTCTTGAGCCAATCCTCAGCTTTACTGAAAACCCTTCTACCGTAAAGGMATGGATWAGTAAWCAYAACACTGTATACAAAGGTCTYAAACGAGATCTTCCACMAAATATTCACTTATTGACGCTGGAGACAATGGACCAACATGCTCTTATTCGCGTTGAACATCAGTTTGAAGCCGGTGAAGATGCCAAGCTATCCCTTCCT